TACACGATAACTCTAGCTTATCGATAAAGTTCATTGACGCACGCTTCTATTAAGTGTAGCTTAATTATAGGCAAACACACAGGGTGCCGATAGTGTTAACCACAGGAAACGCCAGTATACCACGTCGTCGGCTTAATTCCTCGAATTGATCTGTCAAAATGTAACTATGATAGAAAGCGGGCGTAATTCTGCATGACAGTCGGCTCGCTCGCAAATATGTTGAACGCATCAAGCATTCGATGGAATGATCCCCCTTCCCCGCCTGATTAGCTGTGTGTCGATGCTGGTATAACGAATAAATTTTAATCGAGAACGCAACTCCAGGGACTCATTGTGTGTCGTACTACCCGCGGTTCGCCTCGTCAATCTCGCCACGGTATTAATCGGATTTCGTGCTGCGCAAGTACGTGTACTATCATGGTCTATCATGATTCGAGAGGGCAAGTATCGCGCGATTTATTGTGCTCCCGATCTGAACTGATAGTCGATTTGCACTGTGAAATTTTTATCACGACGTTTTTCATTTTTTCATACTCGCATAGCTGAAATTCGTCGGTCACATACGAGGAGGAAAACTATTCTAGAGATGTATTTCCTAATTGTTAGTCGGAATTCCGTCTTGTGCGCGCAAGAGAAACCACAGGCAGGCCGCACATAATCTATATATTTTACTCAGAAGGAGAGAGAGAGAGAGAGAGAGAGTTGGCAGATCCACATTGGAACTTACGTAGCGCCTTGATTAATTACCGAAGCACGATAATTACGCGCGAAATTCGCCGACGAATTAGTGAAACACTATATGCATTGAAACACATGCTACTGTACACTACCTGCCGGTTCGATATGCATGGGAATATACCGGCATGTGGTTTTGTCGCGGCCATATGGCGCGTCCGTGAACGCACGTGCGAGAGAAAATCGAAAGACGCGTACTCCACACAACACGCCACACGTATCATCTCGTTCTCTTTCCGCGTAACGGAAGAAACGCTCGGAAACTGGAGATGTACTGTTAATCAAGAGTCATTAGACGGCGCGTCAACGAGTGTGTCGACAGATAGCTTGCACAGCGACGATTGTTCGCAACCTCGTGTCTGATACGCTAACGACGTGTTCTAACGATCAAAGGAATTTGTCCGGGGGAAAATTTTACTTCGCGAAGGAAACTTTTTTCCTTCCTCGAGCACAAAGTTCGTTTGCAGACGGTGCGCTTTTAACGAGCCCTATTCGTCGCGATCGAATTCGTCCGCTCGCGAGCTAACGGTTGAAGTGACATAATCCTGCGTGAAACGCAAGTATCCGCCTGTTGACACGGCGGTGGACAGATTTTGCAATAATATGTTATGTCCTCGAAACCGGTTGTTACCAGCGTCATTCTCATACCTGCGAACAACACGCCGTAACTTATGTCGAGCGAGTATCCCGGGTTGGTTTGCGCGCGCGTTTTTAATTTGTATGCGAATACGCACGGTCCCACGATAATACCTTACGTTACGCTCTTTAAATTCGCGTTTACCATCATTCAAATATCACTAGAACGAGTGTAAAACCATCGACCGTGGAAAGTGTCTCGACATCGTGAATTTCGAAAATTCTCGCTGCCTCGAAAATATCGGGAAATCGATGCCACGAAAAACGTTTCTCCGCTGGCGGGAGATATTTTCGTGGAATTTACCGAATAGCACCTGCGATGTCAATAAAGGGATATTGAAAGTCAATAACACTTGATATTTTCGAAGTTTGAAAAAGCTACGATCCACACAAGCGCGTTATACGCCGTTTATACGCTTACGAAAGGTGCTTTAATGCGTTTCGGTTCAATTTATTCTGTAACAAATTACACAAAGCCGGAGCGTTAAATTTTTTTTTCAGTCTCTTTTATTCCGCGACTAACTGCTATTCTACGGATATCGTTTATTATTTATCCGCTCTTTGTAATATTAACCGTCGTACGCCAAAAATCCGGATATTGTCGTAAGGATGAAGGCTACCGTCACAAAGGACTTGATGAAAATAACGACGGTCACCGTAACCCGCAGTTGCAGGTCTCGTGGAAGGATGTTGGGAGCCGCCCTCCGATTGCGAGACGCAAGTGCACGTTCGTTACTCTTTACACCTGTGCTCACACATAACGCCCCCGGTGTTCCGAGTGTGCGTGCGCCACGGATGTGTATTGTGAAACTGCCGTGCGTGCGTCCTACGTAATGTGAAAAAAGTCTGACCGAAATAGTCGCAGCTGTGGCGGCGCGCGATTGCGGCTCATGACCTTCTTCGACGCGAAACGTCAGAGATTTCTGCTGCATGCAGAAATAAGGAGCAAGGCCGCGATTGTCGTACGCTAAAATGGAAGCGTCGAAGCTGCAACGGCCGACTCGCTACAATGCGACCGCGCGTGTCGAGTTGGAAGAAAAATACACAAGATAAAACATTTAATTTCCTCGTCGACATTATTTCTCTCTAATAACGAAAGGAAATTGCGCGACGCGCGATTTTTATTTTGCTGGGCGGGAAGCAGACCTCGAGCCATTTAAATGGTGCGAGCCTTTTAAACTTTCACGATGCCGCGAGTTTTTTTTTTTTTATTAATATACGCGTGTTATTGGGCGTTTATATGAGTATCAGGGTGGAAGGAAACCTCGTGAAATTAAATCGCAAGCATTAACACCGTTAACGTGATTACCAGTTATCGTTTGGAAAACGATGCGACAAGAGTGTGGAATTTTCGAGATGCGACGCGACTCGCATATTCATTAAACGCAGAGAGCCTCGAGAACGAACTTCCTACGGTTATTGCCGTGTTTGGTTTTCGGGGCCGGAAAGTACCGACGCCGATGTAAGAGAGCAAAGGCAGATGTTGGGCTTCTTTCGTCAATTTTCGTCACACGCTCCGAAACGCGGAAAGTAAATCCACGTAACGCAGCTGTTCGGAAAAGAAGGCGAGGGCGCGCGTCATTGAGACCTTCTACTCCCGTTGGATCTTACCTGTACACACGTCTTGCTTAATTAAAGCTTACGACTCATGCGTAAGCTCGCTTGAACTTTCGTTCAAACTTAAGAATGCGACTCGATTTTAAACAACTATTTTAAAAGTCTGCAGGATATTGAATAATGATCGAATTCATATTTCATTGTCTCTCATTTCGCGCAATTAATTTCTCAAATTACCAGACAGTCTGAAAAGAAACATCTTTAGAGTTCATCCTCTCTTGTCATCTGAAACACTGAAAGCTCAATTTTGATGAGCAATATCTTCTATTCCAGAACTTGCAATCGCGTGTTCTCATTTCGAAAACAGTTTCGTGTCTCCCTAACGTTCCTCTACACGATAAGATAACGCTGCGTGAGAAAAGTAACAATCGCCTCGAGCAGGTATTTAACAGCGGACAATTTTCCACATTCTTTCATCGATCGGTCGTGTTCGATGAAATGCGAAATAAAAAGGTTCCATCTCGCGAAAGGGCTCGCCGAGCGAAGAGACGCATTTGGACTCCACCGTGAACCTCTCTCTATCGTGTCTCAGCAGATGTACGACCATTTGCCGTGGCAGCTGCTGCTCTCACCGCCGTAAACCTCGCATATCCACCCCGGCTCTTCGAACTGACCTAACGCGAACTCTCCATCACCGTCTCCGAGCGCGGTAGCCTAAGGTCGACTGCGAGATCGCAGGCATCGATCGCCGAATCGTCGGCCTGCACGACGTTAAATTTCTCCGACCTAGCTCGAGAACCAGCGAGCTCGCGTCCTCTTCGGAAGGTGTAATCACGCGAAACCGGTTCCTCGCGTGATTGGATCTTGAGCGGAAGACGATGGCCGGTGGTGCCGTCGCGGCTAGCTATACCCCTGAAATCTACAAGGTACGGAGGAGGAAGTAACCTGGGACTGACTCGGGCCGAGGCATTCACGTCGGAGAGAAGAGGACGAACTGACTTTTATTCGGCTGCTTTGAAACGGGATTTCCTCGCGCTAAATACGTCCCTGAAATTTCACGTCCTAAATATTGCTGCTTGCAAGATGGGCTCCGATGGACTCTACGTTTGTTACGTGTGCGAATAAAACGTAACTGCGTAAGAAACGTTGCGAAAATTTCGCTCGGATGTCATCGAAGGAGAATATATAAAAATGGTGCGAACGTTAAAAGAAAGAAGCGAGAAACCTGGATTTTTATACGAACTATTTGACACAGGTCTGCGTCTGTCCAACCAATGATCAAATTTAACTTCGCGACAGTCTGCTCGAGCGAAATAAAATATTAGCCAGTCAAGTATGATTAGCTTTTTCAAATGACGCGTGTTTAAATCACTTCGGGAGCGATGAACGGCCTTATAAGCGCCGCGATAGATAAGACAGCGTTTATGATGTCATTAATCGTTGGAGGAGCGATGGGAAGCCGCGTGAACGGGAGACGCTATTTGACAAAATCATCCGAAAGGAAGGGCTCCGTGGCTCTGTGTCCGCTAGGTCTGTCCCTGGCAAGCGGCAGAGTGGGGTGGAGAGACCTGGGCCCGTTGGACCTTCGGCATTCGTGTCCGTAGTCTTTCAAGGGGGGGTTGTGTATCCGTTGAGCTCGTTTGTGCACGCCAGTGTGTACCCTCGAGCAAATTCTTGTCGGCGAGCCTCACTCTTACCGCACGCCGTCCGGTGAAAGTCTGCGATGTTGCGTCGCGTCGTTCCTCACCGTCGCGACGGAGCGACGGTGTGCGCGCCTTCCAGACCCGCGGCTGAATTTTATTGACAAGTGCTCCTCTCTCGCGGAGTTGTACCGTTGATCCTCTCTACCTGTGTCGCCTGTGAGTGGAATGGAATGGCAGATGGCGCATGTATCAGTTCGTGAAAACGTTGAGCCTCCTCGTTCGAAAGTCAACGCGCCGCAATCGTACGTCAGATTATCCGACGAATTCGCTTCCAGTCGCTTTCCCGAGTTATTTCGTCCGGGTGTTTGAGCGTTATCGTTGATTTCTCAACTGATGCTGCCATTACTGTGAGTTATCGAGCTAGGTTTAACGTGCTCGACCGTGCCTCTCATTCTCACCTCACCAGGTAAACGATCTCCTCGAGTGACGGATGACTCTTCGGGAAATAGTTCCCGACGCTGTCTGATAACACAGACGACTCCCCGTGCGAGAGATCAAACGTACTTTCGAGTTCCGGTGGGGTCGCCGGAAGTAGCTGAGCGTGACGGCGACGGCGCTAACGGAAAAACGTGGGAACGTGCATCGTGCGACAGCGCTCCGCCGCTCCATTAGTCGCCGCGCGCTAAACGAACTCGAGGATAATCGTATTATACACTTTGCGACAAATGTTTCTGCCGGAAAAGTTCCATCGCGAGTTGATGTCGCGTGTAAGTCTCGTGCGCCGGTGATAAACGGGGACGAGTACGGAAAAAGGAGGGAAGAAAGGAGAAAAATCGCGAGTACGACGGAGCGTAACGGAAAGAAAGCAAGAGGACAGGAAATAGGGAGGAAAATAGGAAGATAAGAAAATACAGATGGAAGAGATCGAGCTATTCGTGCCACGAGCGATGTCTTGATTGTCTCGTCGGAAGCACTCAACGGCTATTTAATTAGACGCATCGGAACGAGGCTTCCGGTTCGGCCCGGCCTGGGAAAACCATTATATCGATTAAACTGCGGAAGGTTCTGCGATAAGGGAATTCGCGAGAGTCCGTAAGGTGCCGACGAGGTCACTTTTCGTTGTAATTGTATTAATTGCTGCAAGGAGAATGCGAAGTTAGTTTAATCGAGTGTACATGGTGGCGCTCCTTGAGGCAATTCTCCGGTCGGAAGGGTCCACCTGTAGGGCGTCCGGGCGAAAGTTCAACGAAGATTGGAGTAGTTCTGGTCCCGAACGAGTCTTCGTCCGTACGACTGAGTCGGAATCTTTCGCGTTTACACAGCTCGAGCGACTCGCAACCGACCGGGAAACGTTGGGAAATTCGCGTTGGAGGTTTTGCCCGCCGGCTGCCGCTGCACTCGCTGAGGAATCGGTGGAGGAGATGGCGAGACCCGCTGGTTCGCGAGAAGAGCGCGGCTCGCGATCCTCCCGATGACGGACGTATCGAGGACGCGAGCAGTCATCGTTTAAAAATAACAAAACAGAAGGAGCCCGCGTAAAGAAGGCGAAGCCGACTGCATTGTGCGGCCACAGCCTGCCTCGCAGCGGAATACCGCGACTCCCCACTGTTGTGTCCGCGAGATGCTCGCGTTGTTTGCGACTTGTGGGCTGGAACGAGACGAGCTGCTCGGGGAGAGGAAGGACACGCTGCGAGACCAGAAACGGAGAGAGAGACTGATCGGGATCCCACTCTTCTAGGTAGAATTTGTGACGTCAGCCTGGGGCAAGTCGTACGACCAGTTCGTTCGCTGGTAAGAAGAAGCGAAGAAAAAGAAGAAGCAGAAGAAGAGGAAAAGGAGAAGAAGAAGGAGGAGGAGACGGAGAAAGGAGAAGGCAAGAGTCTCCTCTCTCATGTATATCCGACTACGTTTTTACCGGCCGGCTGCGGGAGCATCTCGCGCCGCCATGTCATCCGCGCACCACGACATCCATCAGCAGTAGTAGTAGCAGCAGCGCTTGCCCCTACCTCTCCTTCTCTCTCTCTCTCTCTCTCTCTTCGTGGCATCCATTCAGTGGCCGTCGTACCGGACTAAAATTACCCCGGTCCGTCGATCGCTGGCGATCTACGCGCGAGCGGAGTGCTCGCTCCAGCGCGGAACGTTTCGGAGCTGGTGGCGGCGGCGAGAGGAAGCCTGTCTGCCTACCTGGTGCACGACGCTCGCGGTTTCGGTGAAGGTGCATCGAGTGTTTCGCGCGTAGGACCGGTTTCGTTTCGCCGCACGGCCCAACCGCTCGACCGAGAGAGAGCACGCGTTCGTTGTCGCTTCTTACGGAGGTACACGTCATTCGGGCGCGCTGATGAATAATAAAGGAATCCGCGGGATTCGGGGTCTACGTCGCAGTGAGGTGAAAGCGGTCGGAAGGTTAGCCGTTGACGAATCAGCGGCGTAGAGAGCTCGTACGCGGAGATCACAGTGAAGTCTTTGAGAATCGTCGGAGAGAAAAGAGCTTCCTTTTGTTCGTCGGAAGAGGATCTTTCTTCCGGCTCTTCTCCGGCTCTTAGCGCGACAGACAGGAGCGTTACGCCGGGCTCACACCTGTATCGTGCGAACGTTGTTGTTGGACGATAGTGTCACCGTGTATGGTGCACCAGAGGATACGCGGCACTATCAACAGCCCGTTCTGTTTGGATACTCGACGCGGGCGGTACTACTCTTCGTGAAAACATCGCCGTCCGAGAGAGAAATGGGAAACCACCCGTCCGCCCACCAGCCACTCGAGAGAGCTACCAGCCATGCTGGAAATGGTCTTCGCCTCTCGGTACGTCGACTCCCAGTGTTGTTTTTACGTCAACGATTACGGTTACTTGCGCGTGCTGTACTGTCATCGGTGTCGGCGAGACTGGCGCTGGCTGGCGCGTATACGCGCAACGTCCGCGCCCGTACACGTCACTGTTCGCGGTTGTTTCAAATGGATTATATCGAGTTCCGAGAGAATGTCCATCAGCATTCCTTGGAGGGAAAATTCGAGGCTAAAATCTCTGGAAGCCGATCAGAAAAGCTACACGGAAACAAATTCGTCCTAAATCTATGATAGATATTCTCATATGTAAGCAAGATTATTATAATCCTCTTGGGGGATTTTTGGTCTTGATTTGGTTAAATTTGTGCTGATGCAAGTATTACACTCAACTCGAGACTAAAAATCTTCTAAGGATATTATAATATTCTTGTTTATACATGAGAATATCTATCGTTGATTTATATATAAGACTATTCTTTTCTATGTAGAAAAACTAGAGAAGTTATAAAGTTAGAGTTGTCTAAAGGAAAAGAAGTTAATAGATAAGATTCTTCGGTTTGAAACAAAAGTTACACTTCAATGAACTCTTTATCGAACGTTTCAATTAAATTAGGGTCAGATTTAACGAAACATTCGCAGAGTGAAAATTCAAGACTTGTGGAAGAGAAAGACGACATTTAATTAGAGTTTTCTTGTTGAAAAGAAATCGTCATTAGATTCTCTAAATAGAAGTTACGTTCCTGAAGTTTTTAACACGCACCTTACGAAACCTGTATCGTCACGTGATTAAAATGAGGAAAAAAATGTTTGCTCTCAAGGTAATTCACTTTTTTTGCCCACGCGTATCGTGAATGGATTAGATATGCTGTGCTTTAGTTAATGCTGTGCTTTTCAATTTTTTTGTTATACTATTCTTTATTTTCTATATTCCATGCTTTTTATTTAAGCGGGATGAAATATGTGAAATATGTAAATTAGCACTCACTCATAACCGTATGTATGCGATAATCGATAATGGGAAATTTTACGAGCGTCAAGATAAATCGTAAGTTGCGCGTCACGATGTGACCATCGGCGTTTTTCTTCTCGAATATTTTGCGGGAGCGAGCTCATGAAGGGATGGTTCATTCCACGCTTCATAAAGCTCGAGATTTGCAGCCGTCGGGAATGACGGTTTGCCCTTCTTATTACCTCCACTTTTCACCCTCGATCACACACCTCTTGTGTGCTCTTATTTCTCCTCCTCTCGTCCTCTCGCAATCTTCTACAATGGTATCGATATAGCGTTGAAGGTTAACAATACATCCATGTGGAACTTTGATATCACTTCATCGTGAAGATCTTTGTTTGTCGGAGACGTAGACGATACAAAAAGAACACAGATATACTCAAGATATTCTTCACGTCGCAGAATAATGAGATTGAAGCGTCATCGTCACTTATTTTTCACGACTTTCTGCACTTTTAATCCACGCGTTAGAACGAATTTTCTCGTGGAACCATTCTCTTTGAGAAGCTCGATGCTGAAACGCGCAGACGGTCTCGCGGGTGTACGTAGAACCTTTATAGACCCGTGAAAAATTCACGAGGATAGGGTAAGGATGGAATGTGTGCAATCGATGCGCTCGTTCCTAATATCGTCGGAGCAGCGGCTTATCTGCGCCAGTATTTCCGTAACGAGGAACTTCATTAACCTGGACGCGTGACGTCAATCACGCCGGTCATAGCATGACTAATATGTCATTTGCGTTTCACTGGTCGCTTTGTGTTACCGTGAATATCACATATGTCCGCCGGCCCGTGTGAATTCGATTTCCGCGACAATCGAGCGTTCTCATCGCTCTTAGAAATCTCGACGCGGATCCTTGGTATTCGTTGCACCGGGAATATCAATGCGTCATGTTAATTACGTAAAGCCGCGCGCATTCGTGAATCCCCGTTTCGCTAGACGGAATAACACACCTCATGCGTGACGGTTTCAACAGTGAAAATGACGATACGACACGAGGACGTGAGAGGTGTGGTTGGCGCGTTCGCGTTTCAATGACCTTTGCCCATGAACGCACGTCGCGTTTGACGGTCTCGCTCGAATTGACGTTTCGTCCATCAGCGTAGCAGCGTGCGACGCGACGCTCGATCTATCGTTGTCGCGGAAATGAACGCGCGAGATGTTCGCAGGTAAACGCGGAAAGGAAGAAAACTCGTTCCGCAAAAGGTAAAACCATTCATCACGAGGATAAGCAAGCGGGCGCTAAATTCTCGAGGTGAACTCACCGAGACGGCGACTTCTTCCTTTTTTTCCAAGTCGAAGGGCGCCTTTGCCCCGCCGCCTCGTCGGTATTTAATCTCGCTGGAAGCCGAGCGAAATAGTTTACAGCCTGGGTGGTCATAGGAATAGCTGGATGTCGCGTCGTAACCGCCTCCCTTAATTTCGCCGCGCGGCTTAATTACACGGCGCTCGTTACGCGCCCTAATTAGCGGAACTGCTCGATTACGTCGAGCCGACGAAAATTTCGTTTACCAGCGAGCAGACGCGCGCCGTTCGAACGCGACTCGTTTCATCATCGTTACCGGCCGGCTGCGAAAATTAACGTCATCCACGCAGCAGCCGTTTTTAAATCGCATGCAATTACCTGTTTGCGCGATCACAAAGCGAACGAGAGGCCGTTCGACGAGGCCGGGAATCCGCATAGGTAGCGGTAACCCGATGTTTTAGCTCAAGGGAGGAGAGACAGTTGCGCAAATTGCAGGGACCGTCTGGCCGGCCGGTCGACGACGCGATTACGCTCGAATCGCGTTACACACGCTCGACACATATAAATCTAATCGCACGCATGAATTCGCGAGTGCGCACGCCCGCGGTCACGCACACTCGCGACCCAATCGAATCGCAAGGGGATCGAACTCAAGGATAACTGGTAAGCCGCACGCAGCGCTCGCCCCGTGACGATGAAAGAAATCCGCGCGCTCTGCGGCGCTCTCGAAATGCCGTGCTTTCGCTTGCGCGGTGCTTTCTTTCGCGAACGAGTGCTATAAATATTACGAGGAATCCAAACCGCGAGCGGGATTTCTCTCCGGAGTTTTTAAACCCCGCGAGAAAAATTTATAATGGTTCCGTCTATGTTCCACAGACACAGTCCTGTTAGAATTCTCTTCAGCGAGAGATGTTGCCTGTGAAGCTGAAATATTACTTTCTCACGGGAGAATCTTCTCTGTCGGGTCATTAAATCATACAATATTCAATAGACGCTGGAAAAATCTTCAATTACACAGGGAGGAAAGGGAGCGAAGAATCTCTCGGATTATTTTATACAATAATTTTATATAATATTCAACGGACTCTTGGAAAATCTTTGAAGAACTCCGCGTGGAACATTTCCCTCTTCTTCTTCAACCTTTCCGATCTGCTTTCCTCTTCATCTCCTGTCTCTTTTCTCGAATTCCTCTTTTCCCTCATTCTCTCTTTCCTTTTAAACCTACTTGTGTAATTGATTTCTATCGTATAAATTCGTCAAAATATTTATCATTTACATGCACACTTTAAGTCCTTAGAGAGTCCTTAGAGCCCTAGGACTATAATAAATGCTTCTCCCTCTCTTTTTCTCGTCCATTAACCGATCCAAAGAAGACAACGTTTAGCGAACGCCGTCGACTCGAAGGCGGGTATGGAAAAGCGCGCGTTGCATTCCTGCACTTGGCATTTCCACGTCGCGCACCGCAGCGACACGTCGCGTCGCATTGCGCGAAAGCCTGCCTCGTTTCGCGCGGTAGAACGCAATGCTGCGATTTTTACCGTGTGCGCGCAAACGTGCGTGCATGTGACCGCCTACGTTATTGCGAACGTAGACACCTGCCGCGGTGAAAGGACTTCGCGTAGACGCACTCTCGGTGCGCGTCGTACCGCATACACACGCACGCACGCATGCGTGTTTCCACAGTCCGATACTTTGCGAACGGGCTATTTTCCTACTTATTTCCGTTTTCATTCATTCCAACCACCAGACAGTGCCATTCTTTCGACGCGGTCGCGTTACCCGGGTACGTGCATCTCACATTTTCCATACACTTTCCGTCCTTGGTGAAGAGTTCCCGCGGGCTTCCACTTTCTTGACGTTATTTAACGCGAGATATAATCCCGTTGCGCTTTGAACTTTGTAAATCCCAAGTATCCCGACTGCGCGGCTATTCGTCACGCCGTACAATGCGGCTGCCATAATCCGTCACCAACCGCGCGTGGAAAACATCGAATATCCCTCAGCTGAGAGCCTCGGGACGGAGGAGACGCTGGTACACGAGTTTCTTAGCGCGCGACGACACTATTGGCCGTCGAAATTCGCTATCGAAATCACCGGATATATCTAAGCGCTCTCGCCGTCGAATTTGCGCACGGTCGTCGAACCTGGCCGGTCGACCTGGTAGGACCGGCCGAATGTACACCGGCTTTCGCCGGTGGCTTTTTCTAGGTCACGACATCTCTCGATCGGTCAGAGAATCCCTGGCTTCGAGACACTCTTAGCACCGAGGTTAAAAACGGACGCCGGTGGCATCGACGGGCCGTGCCAAAAACTCGCGCGGGCTTTTTTAGATCGCTGTCGTCCGCGAGGATTGTCTCAGCACTCTCACTCTCCGCTTGCTCGAGTGCTCAAAGAGATGACGTGAAGCGACAACTCTGTGTTATGTCATAAAACTTGAATCAAACATCATTCTCTCCCGATGTGATAATAAAAGAATAATTATGCGCCTTTCAGTTAATCCGGATATGGAGTTGTCTAATTGTATTTCGTTAATAATGATGTCTTCTTACGCGAGATACACATTTCTCTTTTATCTTAGCATATATTATTCTTCATTGTATTCTCCTCCAATTATAGCTGATTATTAGCTCGATTATTCTGCGATACTAGATAGTGCTATGTATACTTCATTTCGCCCGCCCGCCCGAACTGAAATTACATTGTGAAATGATAATGGACGAGCAGCCGGCGATGCTGGTGTTGGCGCCGAAAGGAGCTTCCGTG